TGGCTCTTCTGTAAACGAGTTCTGGTGTGGGAAACTGTCTGTAACATGTTAGTGAATCCAGACCCAGAGCAGCTGAGTTGGGGTCCCACTAATTACCCAAATGTAGCCACAATTAACTCAAATAATGGTCGTACAAGCGTAAATTGGGCTGTTAATCACTACTCGATTATTATTTGGTGTCAGTCACAAAAAATTGGTAAACTTAATCTGAGTTGTGTTGTGTTAGGTTAGGTTAGGTACATGGACTTGATCTATTAACTCAGATTCACCAAAATAACAATAAATAACGACATAATTACTCACGTCTTATAATGTAGAGAATAACAACACCTCCTCCTTCTCACTATTGAATATATAAAGCCTATAATAAAAGAGTTATTGTGGTATTTGATCCTTTTTATATCACTAATGTCTGTATCGGATCACATTTAAGGTGGTGTTGTAGTGATGTTACGTTGCTCTTTTGTTTATATGGGAGGCACCTTTACTGACCTTATTGTTACCATTTATTCTGAAGTACGATATCGTAATAAACATTTTAAACAATGATAAAAAACTAATTAATAATATTCGTCTTATATTATGGGAATAAGTTTGTTTCTTTTTGTAAGGAAATTAACTTATACGGTAAAGTTTTTTCTTTTAGCTGCATGATTTTACTAATAAAAGCAAAACGCGGGTCATGTGAACTACAGTTAATATGTGTTGAATATTTAATTTCTTTACATATTTACACATTATTAACATAAAATAATGATATAAAACTTCAAAACATAAACAAAAATAAGGGATATATTCTTAAAAAATAAAAATACCGATAATTGTAGTTGTGGTTGTTTTCGTTGTTCAGTTAATGTCTGTCAGCTGTCATGGAATATCTTTAACCTTAAGGTCGGATTAACTCCTTCTGGTGATGGCTGATCTATTTAAGACCGCCCTCGGCTACCTTGGGGCTAATGATGCTACCACTCTCAATGACTTTGTCGGCCAAGAAGTGGAAATTAATAATATTCGTCTACGTATTAGAAAACTTATAGCTGAAGGTATGACATTAATAGGAATATCTTATAACTTATTTTATTTAGGTAAATTTCTCTGGGGGTTGACGAATATGTTATGCCTGTGTGTTTTGGTGTGTTTTAAGCCAATCTGACCTCTATTTTTGGCTGGGTTTTTTTATGCCCCCCTAACAGTAATGGGGGTCAGCCTGGGGTAATCGGGGTCATCTAACCTAACAAAACCTAATCTAACCCCGGTAGGCTTAGCTTAAACTAACCTTCCTTAACCTAAATGTTTCGATGGTTTAAAACTTTGGGGCGCAGTACAATCCCTTAGCTGGGAGTGGAAGGACCAGCGATACGTAAGTATTGGATAGAATGATCGTCTTTCTCATAAAACTCGACAATAAACCTAAAATAATCATAGGAACACGATTGACAACCAACCTTGACCACGGCCATCGTCACTGTGGTCGATGAATTTCTAATCCGTTCCCAGGCTATTGGTCGAAAATAATCGTGAGATATCGATACATCATTGGTCACGACTGGATGATGTCAGTCACTATTGCTCGTGTGTGATCCACAATTAACTCGCTTTCACGCCGATAACATATCCTGAGACGAAGATCGAAAAATACGTAAAATCGATTAAATTCAATTGTGTCTATTTTCCATTTCCTCCAGGTATATATGGGGTTGAAAATGGTCAGAATAAGGAGGTGTAGATAGTCCACTAGTTTATACCTCTGGGGCGCTCAAAGTAAAGTAATGCCGTTCAACACAATATGGGAATGGCAACATAAGAACTCCTATATTGTGCACCAATTCCTGAACTTGGTAATTATTTGGATCTTGACTGTTGCTAGTTTGGCAGACAATTTTGGTCTCATTTTGTTCAATATTTGATGCTTAATACAATGGAGATAGTTTTGTTTTATGACAGATTGAGCCACAACTCTGTTAGAGCAATTTTGTGTTTATCATTAATTATATCTTGTTAATAGGAACAACTTTTTCAAACACCACTTCTGTTATATATGGCTATTAACCGAGAAAGTAAATTGACATCAGAAATTAACTCGTGTCGTCTGTTTGTTTATAGCCGACCCGTTCAGTCTGAGCCGTACTTTACTCTACTCTACTCTACTCTACTCTACTCTACTCTACTCTACTCTCATGTCCACAAAAAATGTAAAATTACACCTTGAAGCTTCAACAAAGTTGTTTTCATTGGTACCATATGTCAAAATAAGTACTTTCTGTTTAACATGGCGGGGATGGCTCGGAAGTTAGGGTAGGTTTCTTTGGTTGGTTATGCCAGGTTGTATGGGGGGGGGAGGGGGATGATCTATCCAAAACAACTCATTTCCAACAGACATGAAGGTCAAATTAGAATAAATCGCACCAAATACCATGGGAAAAACAGAAATTTGTGGCTCAAACTAAATTTACCCAGAATTTATATATTTTATTTTTTTGGGGAAATGCTAAAAAAGAATTGTTTTTTCAACTTCCTAATAGAAAATCACAAAATAAAAATACAGGATGTTTGGCTTATTTTTACATTACAAAGACCATTTTGCATTGAAGAGCAACAATTCATAACATAACCTAACCACTTTACCCCACATAGTATTAGTGTGGTTAATTTTAAGGTGAAATAAGCTGGGGTGGATGTTGTTCAAGTGATCCTGGGAGATATATGTTGTTAAGTACTGTACTGATAGTCTCCAAAAAGGTTAATTGACATTAATAATTTAAGTAGGTCGTAGGCAATTACCAAACAGTGAGGTACTACCGCCTGGGAAGATATTGGAAGCACAATGTGTTGTCTAATGGTAGACCCTGCTGCCATATGTGACCAAGTCCCAGGTTGATGATCTGACTTTCTGCCTCATTTACACACAATTGCAGGGTCTCAATTGTTTCTCTTACAACACAACATACATAGAGTACTACATCGTTTCTCACTCTTGATTTTATTTTTGTTGTATTTCTTTATGGTTCTTTATTATTATTGTTTTTATTATTTTTTGTATTTTTAATATTGTATTTTTTATAATAAATTTTATTTACTATGAATTATTATTATTATTATTATTATTATTATTATTATTATTATTATTATTATTATTATTATTACATTGTCGGCCCCGTTGTGGGTCAGTGACCTGTACCTGGGTGGGCTAATCCCCGTTGAGAAAAAATAAAATAAAAATGTGTTCACCTGTGAAGCTACAGTATTATTACTTATATTTGTCTGTTTTGGTTTACAGGAGGATTTGCCTTTGTATATGTTGGACAAGACCTCAGTAATGGACGGACATTTGCTCTTAAGGTATGTTAAGGACGTAGTACTGTAGTGAACTGTACTGAACTGTACTGTACTGTACTGTACTGTACTGTACTGTACTGTACTGTACTGTACTGTACTGTACTGTACTGTACTGTACTGTACTGTACTGTACTGTACTGTACTGTACTGTACTGTACACTCGCTCAAAATAATATCTTCACGGAGGGGTGTGATGAACACCACGACCCTTGTAGTCTGGGTAGGGTTGAAGCATCATATTGTCTAACACACAATCGTAAAGATATGTTTTGGTGTGAGTGTACAGTACATGCAACTTGGATTTAAATTCTGCAATGTTCATACAAAACTTAAATAACTTGATATCTTGTCAATTCCCCCCTGGATCAATGGTTCCTGTCTCATTTTCAGTTGTAGCAAATGAAGACAATTTGTTTTTCCCCTGAGTATCACTTACTTGGTATACTGATATCAGCTTGTGTAATGGATAGATAAGAACATAACTTATATGGTTAAGACAATATCAAGATATAGGATGGCTTCAGGCATATAGAGGAGGCTATGTTGTATAGATAAAATGTTCCCAGTTAAAACCATTTCCAGAAAGATTATTCACTTAAAAAAACTGTAGTGTTTATGGATCTAGAGAAGTCATAGGATTAGCTGGAGGTAGAGGCAGTGTGGGAGGTGGTGGCTGGAGGTAGAGGCAGTGTGGGAGGTGGTGGCTGGAGGTAGAGGCAGTGTGGGGGGTGGTGGCTGGAGGTAGAGGCAGTGTGGGAGGTGGTGACTGGAGGTAGAGGCAGTGTGGGAGGTAGTAATAAAAATTCACTGACGAGGAGGAAAAGTTGGTTGATGCAACAAGGACATTACACAAGAGAAGTGAGGTATGTGTGAGAGTCAGCAGGTGGGAGGGAGGCAAGGGGGTGATATTCCCCATGGTGGCTTAACATAACTATGGATGAATATTTAAGGTCAGGTGAAGGCAGAACATTTTCAGTGACTTGGTTAAGGAGAGACAACATTACAGTGTTAACTTCTCTCTTATAGCGACTGTTGGGTGCCGACCAGGTCTCCTGTGACGCCATACGTCAGGAAATAGCAATATCTAAACAGCTGTCTGGACACCCATACATTGTTGAATTTGTTGCAGCAGTGGCCATAGATAAGAACCAGAGTAAAGAAAACAGAAATGAGTTCCTTCTATTGAGTGAACTATGTACAGGTATGAACACTAGTTAATATGTACAGGTATGAACACTAGTTAATATGTACAGGTATGAACACTAGTTAATATGTACAGGTATGAACACTAGTTAATATGTACAGGTATGAACACTAGTTAATATGTACAGGTATGAGCAATATCTCTTTTAAATCCATATTCTTATTGTTATGTTCCTTTAAAGAAGAAGTTTACTTACAAAATCATTTCCTTTAATTCAGATACAGGAAAAAATTACTAGCTTGCGTAGAATGTAAAGTGAATTATTTGGCGACAATAGCACGAGGTGACGGGAATACACTCACGAGTATTAGTTACCCCTATTAAGTGGATGTTTCACGTTCCTCGTGTCTCATCCGAGGGATCGAACGTTTTGCCGTGTTGTAACGAGAGGCCGTCATTACAGGAGGTTCACTAGTGGACGCCTTGAGACTCTTAGATGGTAAGCTGCTAACGGTGGATCAAGTGTGCACCATAATGTACCAGACTACCAAGGCCGTACAACATATGCAGGTAAGGGTATTCAAAGGTTCGTTGCATCTCGTAATTATTCACCGGTCTTCTGCTTATACTTTGGCATTTTTCTTGTTTTTGTTTTTTTTCTCCTATTGACTAGCTATGTCTGTATAATGCCTCAATAAATTGAATTCCTTAATGACTATCAATCAGATTATGGTAACAGATTTAGGTACTGTACAGACATACCAGTGATGTATGAGAGCTGTGGTAAGTTTTATCATCAGTAGAACATCTGAAGAATAAGCCCCCTCCTAAGTGCTCACCTGAAGAATAGCCCTGAAGTTTAATCACTCAGGTGGGACTAATGTTCAGGTGAACCATAACACCTGGTGACAGTGTGCCGTGTTAGAGCTCAATTATGGTCTATGAGGAAACAGGACATACTGTACTCTACCTGAATTGGATAACAGTGAAAATGAAAAATTATATGCCTGAATTTATAATGACAGGTAATTGTGTAATTATGTAAAGAGATAAAAAGATAAATAAAGAAATAAAATAGGCAACACTAAGGGCAAGATTAAGCACAAGATGGCGGTGAGTCTGGCACCAATGGCAATGTTTTTATTTTTTTATTTCTTATTATGTACAGTATTTAATTATTTATTTATTTTATTTATTTATTTTTTTTACCTCCAATAAACATAGCATCTTTAGAGTTGTTCTGATGATTATGTCTACGATCATTTAGCTAGTTTCCATTTGCCAGTTATGGCTAGATAAATGGATAGCTGCTACAGATAGAGAGATAGTACAGAAGTCCCCCGACTTATGATCACCCGTCGATGCGAACGAGGTCCCATTAGGTCAATTAATTTAAGAATCTGACATAGGTACAGTAGCTAAAACAACTACTGTATCTGTGCAGGTGGGGGTCGATATGCTCCGAAATTTTACGTGTGACTAGTGACGGCCCTCATATAACAAAATTTATCATCCCTCTTCTCATATTGTTTCCCACAAAGTATGCACACATAGTTGTTTTAGCTACTGTACAACTGGTTTTTAAGATTAACATACAAGAACTAGTTTGTGTTGCACAGCGGTGAGGAGGAGCGGGATGCCTCACCCAGCCACGCACCTTGAGGGAGAGAGAGAGAGTACGCCTTGCCATCAACTCAGTAATGTGTGTGACCAAGAACAAACTGTTGTTTTTTGCTTATTAACCCTATTTTTCTGCCCTCATCGTGGCTCCCAAATGCAAACCTGGTGCAAGTGATGGTAGTGCATCCAAGAAAAGGAAAACATTTATAATGGAAGTGAAAGTTGATGTAATTAAATGTTCTGAAAAGAGCAAAGCTTCCTCAGTCATTGGTAGAGCGTTGGGCTTCAGTTGGTCAATGGTCGGAACAATTCTGAAAGGCAAAGACCAATCCACTCAACTGTGATAACAAAACAAAGAAGTGTATTGTTAATTGAAATGGAAAGATTGTTAGTGATATGGGCGGAAAATTAGCCAGCCCCAGGTTTCAATTTTAGTGTTAAACTTCGATTTTTACTTTCCTTCACTGTATTTTGTCATTCAATTTCTTCTTTTCTCTTAAATTAAGTGATTCAAGATGTATAAAAGGACTTAGGCTATGATATAGTGTACATAGGGTATGTTTTACAACTTACGTACATTTTCGATTTAAGGGTGTCCTCGGGAACGGAACTCGTTTGTAACCCGGAGACCCTCCAGTACTGACCACCATGCTTGTGTGACCTAGTTGGTGTGAGTAATAATAATGTGTACATGTATGTGAACTTCCTGCATGTATACATAAACACTTACATGAACACAGGAAAGGACAAGCGGGACACAGATTTACAACAAACTCACAGGAAATAAGAAATTAACCTCTTCACTACAGGGATGACACTTTTAATAGTTTATTTGGATAACCGGAGACAGTTTTATTCAGCTCAGGTGACCCAATACACAAGGGGTTAATAGACTATCTCCACTCGACCCCTCACTATGGGGACGCCACTTTTAATAGTTTATTTGGATAACAGGAGACAATTTTCTTTATCTCAGAGGTGACCCCCATACACAAGGGGTAAAATGCCATGTAATTAACGAAGAATTAATTTTTGTACTCCTTCAGGCTCAGAATCCCCCAATCACTCACCGAGACCTAAAAGTGGAAAATCTACTCATCAGCGAATCTGGCCACATTAAACTGTGTGATTTTGGATCAGCCATGACGAAGACCTACACAGTTGACTTAGTATGGAGCGCACATCAGCGAGGGATGCTGGAGGATGAGGTAAAGGAGAAGTTTCCTCACCAACAGGTTTTCATTTAAACATAAATTGGATCAGCTGAAGAATCTCCACCCCATCTTATTTCACATAAAGATTAGCTGCCCTAATGTTAACCTAGCCTAACTAAGCCTTGTCTAACTTAAAATAATCCATTCTAACCTGCAACTAGCCTATCATATTCTAACCTAACCTAACAGTAACAAGCTTGAAAGTAAAATGGTACTGTTAGGTGATAAATGTATTGCAGATGGTTCAAGGTGTTGCAGATGGCTCAACACACTACTGTATTGTCAGGTAATACAATATACTGTATCATGTGTGTGTTGCAGATGGCTCAACACACTACTGTATTGTCAGGTAATACAATATACTGTACCATGTGTGGGTTGCAGATGGCTCAACACTTGTCAGGTAATACAATATACTGTGCCATGTGTGTGTGTTGCAGATGGCTCAACACACAACACCAATGTACCGGGCTCCTGAGATGCTCGACACCTGGAGTAACTATCCCATCAACGGCCAAGCTGACGTTTGGGCTCTGGGCTGTATCCTCTACTACCTCTGTTACCTTAAGCATCCCTTTGAGGATTCTGCAAAGTTAAGGTAATATGTTATATACAGTGTAGGAACAGTTTATTTTCTCTGAGGTATGTGTCTGCTGTAGGCTCTGGTTATAAAGTTGATGTAATGGTACAGGTGCTGATGCTTTAGGCTGGAGTGGATCATAGTACTTGTCTATGGGTGAATATTTTTGACCTGGACCACCTGTGGGCTTTTAACATGGGTTTAGGTTAGGGAGAGTTTATTACACAATTTTCTTCTTAAAGACCATAGTTCATGTGTTAAGTTAGACCATATTGAATTTGTATTTAATAATCTTACCAGTTATTGGTAAAGTAATTTTTGTTTTTCTGCAGGATTGTAAATGGTAATTTTGCCATTCCTTCAAATGACGGCAAATATGAATGTTTCCACGAAATAATCCGAGGCATGCTGAAGGTGGATCCAACCAAGAGATTTAAGGTGTCAGATATCTTGGAAAGATTAGCAGCCATCGCAGAGACCAAAGGGTTTGACTTAAAAGATCCGTTAACAATAAAGTGTAAGAAGATTGAGCTGACTGTCCCAGGTTAGTGTCACTTGTTATACTGAAGTCAAGTGGGAGACAATTACTACAGGCAGTCCCTGATTTATGACTGTCCAACTTACAAACACCCGCACTTGTGAATGGGATCCAAATACATACATTGCAAAAATTTAAGTAAAATACCATTTTTTACATTATTTTCATTATTCTATATTGTTTAGCATCATTTTATTTACAGTATTTGTTATGTGTATTATTGTTGTTTTGTATGGGCAGAGTTGTGCAATAACCTAACCTAACCTATGGAATAAACACTGTTCGGACTTATGGACAAACTGGACTTTAATTATTTGAATATTTAATGGAAAAAAATATTGAGTCACGATTGATTTATGAAGTGTTAACCCTCTTAGGTGATGCGAGTCAAGAAGATATGAGCAATTTTTATACGTGTGTGTGTGCGTGCTTGAGTGCATGAGTGTTTGTGGCTCAGAGAGGAGAGTGATGGTGTATTTAAAGGGTCCCTTTCAGAAAGTTTGAACCATTATATAGATTTAAATTTTTCTATTTTTACTTGCATTTTTCTTTCCTCCAGAACAATAAATATAATGAAATAACATTGTAAGTATTGTTCACTTGTTTCTCTTCACCAGTACAACAGCCTGAGAGTAACGGCAGGGTTGGTGAGAGACGTTTGGCACCTCCCGACCGTCCCGACCGTCCTCCTGCCCGTCCTCCTGCCCGTCCTCCTGCCCCTCGTTCTCCAGTGCCCAGCCGACCTCCACCTCCAGGTTCACAGCCCCAGCAAGGTATATATGCATTATTTACTGGTTGTCTATGAGCTGTATATGAACTATTAGGCTCTACCATATCTAATAGGCACAGAACTGAAGTAGAACAAACACCACAAAAAAAAAAATGCATTAGTTACAATTTACAAAAATTGAAATTACTATAACATTGGAACTAGTGAGCGCATTGAAGTGTGGTTCAAGTATCGGCTCGTAGGATTCTTTTTGCGGATTTGAAATTGAAACTCGCGAAAGACGTCATTCTTGTCGTCTTTCGGGCATATCGGTGCTTGTCCTATTTGAGTCATGCGCGTCTCATAGGTAACAGTAACGAGAAGAAGTTTATCCGTGTTTGGGTAGAAGTTTGGTGCGTGTGTTACTACCTTTCACCTCTGTTATACATTACCCTTTTTGAGGTTTCTGTGTTTATTAGTGTACCTCTCATAAGCAAGGGATAATGAGAGAGAGAGAGTTGTAAAGGTAATAGTTGATGAGAGATGAGACATAATACCATTGTAAAGATAGACCAGGAAGAGGGACAATAAAGATAAGTTATTTACTATTACAGGTATGAGCGCTCCTGGTGTGCAGACTCCCCAACAAGCTGCTGCTGGCGGGTTGTTCTCCTCCATTAAAGGTTACTCTGGCAGTATCTTCAAGAACCTCAAGGATACTTCCAGCAGGGTCATGCAGACTGTTAGCCAGTAAGACCATTTTGATGTGTTGTAAACGTTTTGTAATGTTTATATTAGAATTTTCATTAGTCGGGTCCTAACTCATTGGGGTAGAATCCGAACTAACTCAGTGGGGTAGAATGCTAACTAACTCACTGGGGTAGAATGCTACTAACTCACTGGGGTAGAATGCTAACTAACTCACTGGGGTAGAATCCTAACTCATTGAGGTGGAATTCGTTCCTGGTTAGATTTGAATCTCATTTGAAATTCCTATATACAGGAGGTCCCAGGGTTACATGCACCTGACTTAGGAACAACTGCCAGTACCAATGTGGTTCCATAAAGGTTAAACTTTAAATTTACAGTATTTTATTTACCTCGTGTCTTATTTTTTACTTTCATTTACTGTATTTTGTCATTCTATTTCTTCTTTTCTCATAAATTAAGTGATCTTAGATATATATAAGGACTTAGGCTATGATATAGTGGAATTTTAAGCATTGGTGTGTAAGTACGGTATGCATATAGGGTACGTGGTTTAACTTTAGTCCATTTTTTACTTGACAACGTCCATAGGAATGGAACTCATACATAACCCAGGGACTGCCTCTATACAGTACAGCATGCCCTTAAAATTTACAAGAGTTTCAAAATGGCTGTCAATAGCCAAATCCATGAATATCATTTGCTGACCAGGGGTAGGAGGTACATTTTTACTTGTGTGCAAAGAAATGTATAGTCCCTTTGTGTTTGCCCTTAAGACAATTATTTCTTTTACCTGTATTATATATGTGTGAGTGTGTGTGTAGACACAAATACACACACACACAGATACACACATAAACAATACAGGTAAAAGAAATTACTGACTCTAGAATGAATGGGTCCCTGTCCCCACCACAAAAATGTTAGCAACTTTAAAACTACCCACAGACATTCTTGGGCACATCCAGGGTGTCATCCACAAATAATCAAGGACCGTGAATTGTCAGGTCATGCTGTACTACTGTATAAGGTGTATTTTAGTTACATTAGACATGCAGATAAATGTGAACACACAGTAATGTGGTGGAGGTATTTATTGCAGTGCAACCATCCATCACACACACACACAAAGAAGATATGACCCATTTCCCCCACAATGGCTAATTATCCATTGTTTTATTTTCAGGTCAATCGCTCGGACTGATCTTGACCTATCACACATAACATCACGGGTCGTGGCCATGTCGTACCCAGCCGAGGGGTTAGAGTCGGCGTACAGAAACCACGTGGAGGACGTTAAAGGTACAGCAGTCGGTCACAACAACGCTTCTGTATTGTGTATACTCTCACTTTGAATCTATTTATTGACTTGGTTTTGAATGTGTTATACAACTTTTTCATTTTACCTCATGTGTTATAAGAATTTCTCCCTCAGATTGAATGCTTTATCTCATTTTCATTTGTTTTTCGCAGCTGTGTTGGAGGGGAGACATCCTGGTCATTATGTGATCTATAATGTATCAGGCAGACAGTATCACTCTACAAAGTTCACTACAAGAGTGGTCGAGGGGAACTGGTCGGGGAAGAAAGCCCCGACACTGGGAGCCTTGTATAACTTGGCTTGTAGTATTCATGATTACTTAGCTAAGGATCTTAAGAACATCGTAGTTGTTCACTGTATTGTAAGTGTTGTGCTGTGTTGCCTTAGTTTGTCTGTGTATGCAACATTCCCACTCTAAAAGTAGGTATTCCACACGTTTCCTCATCTCTTCTTTCTCCGGCACATGAAATATTCTTTATGATTTACTCTCATTTCCTGACTCAATTTAATTGTAATACTGTACTGTAGTTATTTGAACATCAAGATACATTTACTCTTCCCTTATATATATATATATAATACCGGGTTATTACAAATGGTCTTCTCATTTTTATACGTTTGTTATGAAAAACAAAACTACCAGAACAACTTTTTCTTGTGAATCCATGTCAGAAATGAAGATTTTGTTTTACCAATGTCGGTAACTTTGGAGATCTTGAAGAGGCTGTTATCAAAGTTCACTTTATGTTACAAAATGTATAGAGGGAAACACTATCACTCTGTTGTAGTGACGTAACCTGTGAGTTCCCAATATGTTTCCTCAAATGATCGTAAATACAGTTAACCCTCTCACTTCCCTACCTCTCGGATCCGGATTACGGTTGGTCTGGACCGACATCTGGATGTGGCAGATCCCTATCCGGTCTCTTTCTCTCAGTCCGTATGCCGTGTTTACTCCCCCACTGCTAAAATGGACCCAGTCCGCATCGTCTCCTGGACCAAACTGTGGTGTTTTGGTTCTTTTTCAACTCGTATTTTTGGGTCGATTTACTGTACTTAACTTTTTTCATTTATTTTTACTCTGTTTCACGTACACAACATCCTACATACATATTGTGAAAAAAGTAAAAGAAATAATTGTCCTATGGGTAAACACATAAGGGAATTTACATTTTTTGCACACAAGTTAGCTGACTGGGGGGGAGGGAGGGAAGATGGTCGCAGAGTGTATGGTGGGGGAAGATGGTCGCAGAGTGTATGGTGGGGGGGGGGGCGTCCTAGCTGATCTTCGTTACTATGCTAAAAGAAGGAGTGTATGCAAATGACTTGTGAGGCGAGCAGGCTGACCATTACACCAAAGATCACACCACCCAAAGACCACACCACCCAAAGACCACACTACCCACAGGTCACACTATCATTAGGTCACACTACCATTAGGTCACACTACCCACAGAATACACTTCTGATAGTTGTAAATATTAAGTACAGTACATTATATATCAGTGTATTATTGGTCCACAAGTTATGAAGGTGTTACCAGGATGATGGGGATGATAATGTACTGCAACATGATGATAATGTACAGCAAGTGAGGGTGTGTAAATGGTCCAATTGGAGAGGTGGAGACCAACGCATTATCCTATGCATTTTGAGCACTGCTTTGATTTCTACACAGCCACACTCACTCACTGGTGTAGAATCTTGTAAACTTTTTTGGTCTATACTTGAGAAAAAAAAACATCAATAATACTTACTTTAGTGTTCTCTTAAAATTAGTTTGACAGTCTGCAGTGTGTTACAAAAAGTATATGTATGCACACTGGCTTATAGATATTTGTAATGATCACTTGAATGCTTGTTGATATATACTACAAGCATCACCAATATCTGTAACATGCTGAATGTTTTTGAGACACCCTGTAGTAAGAGAGAAATAATTGCACGTTATTAAACACATTTATTTTTTTCTGTCTCTGCATGATAGGATGGTAAAGCCTCAACTGCTATGCTGGTGTGTTCATTCCTCTTGGTATCCCACGCTTTCAAGAGACCCGAACAAGCCCTAAATATGTTTGCCATAAAAAGATGTCCGCCTGATCTCCAACCATCACAGTTCAAGTAAGACTTGAGATATTTCTTGAGACTAATAATTGTGGTACAAGGATGTGTGTGTGTCTTTGGGGTTAAGTTTACTTGTAATGCAGATAAAACAGGTCTTGGATCCCAGAGTGAAGCTTATGTATACTGTACTGCTGTCAAGGAGTAGGAGGAGCAAGAATGATGAGGGAGAAGGAAGGATGATTAGGCAGGAGGAGGAAGAGGTGAGGTAAGAAGCAAGGAAGATAAAGGAGGAGGAGAAGCAACACTTAAATTTATGGGTGGAAAAGAATGGAATTGAGCCATATTGTTGCAGCCCAAGATATATATAAACCTCCTCATACTGTCCACAACACAGTGAGTTTTGTAATGGGTCATTCTGAAGGGAACATACAGTACAGTACTCGAAATATGAATGCTCTATTTTGTTATGTCCTGGGTAAGGAGGAGAGTAAATTGAGTGAGTGAGTGAGGGAGTAAATATGGGGAGAGAGAGAGAGAGGGATGAGCTGTTATTCACTCGCACTCATTTGACATGAAAATTGTTTCAGCATTTTCAGAAATTGACACAGATGTATAAGTTATTCCTCCAAGTGACAGAGAAACTGTTTCAGGTACCTGGAATATGTGGGTGACCTGGTGTCGTCTCCACCTGGCCTACCACACTTCAAGCCTGTCACCCTCACCTCAATCATTGTGTCACCAATCCCACTCTTTACTCAGAGAAGGTAAGTTTTGTTGACATGACTGTGCATGTAACACCTGTAACATGTAACACCTGTTATGTCACCTCCACTGTCAACTTCTGGTAGTTACTCTATTGTATAAAATGATCAGGATTTAAATGTCCTCATTATACTGTTTCTTTTAGTTTTATGAGAAGGTATTTCTTGCAGTTTTGTTGCAAATGAACCACAATCAATATACTGTACAATATGCTCTTATTAAATATGGTCCACAAGTAAGAATTTCTTTTAAAAGTTCCTGTTGTATGAAACAATATATTTTTTTATCTGGTAAGACTGCCATTTGGGAGGCGGTGATAATTACATCTCTGAGTTTTTAATTAGTAAAGTTGCAATAAAGTCTTATTGAATCATTCTCAAATTTTTTTCCTTTGGTTTTCACAATAGAATTTTAATGCAAGTCTTGTGTCATAGGGATGGTGCTCGTCCATATGTAGAAGTGTGGCAAGGTGATCACAAGATGTTGTCCACCCTACAAGAGTATGACCACATGAAGCTCTACATGCCACAAGATAACAAGGTCAGTTGTGGTTAATAACACATAATGAATCACTCAATTACTCTGCTAAAAATTGGGTATAGTCATTATTTTGGGATGTTGTCGTGTTGGTGAGAGATTTACACCATCCCTGTATTAAAACTTTCTATTACAGATCATCATTCCTATCAATATACATCTAGTGGGGGACGTGTGTGTGTACGTCTACCATGCCAGAAAAATGATGGGTAAAGTAATAGGGGTGAAGATTGCCCAACTACAGTTTCACACGGGCTTTATACCAGAAGAAGATACCTCGTTAAAATTTAGTTTGTGAGTATTATCATCATTTCTTCACAGTATTAACTTTCGAGGAAGAGAGTATCGTTACAGGCAGGATTGATTAATTGATTGTGGTAATAACATCCCTAGTGATGCAGCAGCTTAGGTCATAGGCCACTGAATTAAACTTAAGCTTAGAAGACTGTCAACAAATAATGCAAGGTAAAAAAACATAAATAATAGCATAGAACTATCATAAAAACCATTTAAATGTTAGTAGTTAAACTCATAGCTTGTGTAGAAGGAGAGGAGCGAGGGTACACATGAGGCCGACCTTAGGATGTTCTTGTTGGTAACAGTACAGTATCTGAGGTTAGGATTAATGCCCTGTGAGTGAGTGACGTGTATCATCAAATATAATGTTAGTAGCCTCACTCACTCACTGTTCTGCCTTCATCAGCTTCTATAAGAACATATATTAAACTATAGACAGTATTAAATCCTACAAAAAATAAATTAAACATTTTAGGTTTGGTTATTACTTATATCAAGTGTTTGTGTGATCAGTTTTTTCAAATACTATATCTTCATTACTTAATTTTCACTTCAGGCGAGATTTGGACGACGTGTCGGAGCCCGATCGCTACCCAGAACGCTTCACCGTGACGGTGAATATTTTTGTGTCCGACGTAGACCGTACGCCACCCCAGCCTCCCCCTTGGGTGACAAGACCAGCTTCCTCTTTCAAGCCTCAGGTGGCATACTCTACTGCTATTGAGATGGAGGAAACAAGAGAAAAATTTGGTGTGTATCTTTCTGTAAATAAGTCATCTTTAACCAAGTACCATATGTGATAGTCTAAGGGCGCGGCCACACTCTGCCGTCAACGTGGGATCGACGAGACTAAATGAGGCACAGGGTTCCGACTCTGGTACGGTGCGGCCACTACACTGGCCTTTTTTTCTTGTTCATCTCACGTTGGCCACAAAATAGATGCTCGCGTGGCTGCGCCCTGAGGTGTCTGGGCTCACACTATTGTAATAGACAAGTTGCTACACTTTACTATTGTATAATTTGTTGCTAAATGATTTGTGAATTTATTATACTGTATCCTTGGATATGTCTCAGTTATTGTCAGCTCCATCAAAAATGTGTTCAGAATCAATCATATGACTTATCTCCCAAAGTCCCAGCCACCACCATAGATGGTGTCATAGATGTCATGCTTCACTGTGGTGTCATGCCTTGCTGTGGTGTCTGCCTGGGGGCTGCCTTATTATTTAAGACAGTACTGTACTTCTTTTTATTCCTCTCATCCCTTCTCCTTAACACTTTAATGTTGTTTACAGCGAGGCCTGAGTCTGTTATTTGCTCACTGCGGCCCAAACATCCCCAGTCTGTGAATGTGTGCGTCTCTCCACAACCTACGTGGTCACACTGTTCTGAATATTTCACATTTATTTGCATGTTTTATTGTTTGTTATTTAAGTTATATTTTATTTATTATGTTCATGATTCTGTGTCAACAACTGTCAACCATAATTATTGGTTTGAAAACTTACTAATGAAGGTTAAGAGGTTAATTATTTTTTTTTTTGGGGGATATTTTTATCGGTATACAGTAATGTATTATTATTGTCAGGAATCACAAAATTTTGTCATGTGGGACCCAGTGGTTGATCCAGGGGACACTTGGACCAAAGTCATAAGATTAATATTGTTCCAACTTTCCCACCCAGGTGGTCTCTCTGTTCCATCCTGTTCTCTTGTTTCCTCCTCATATCTATATACCATCTTAGTTAATCTTTCTTTTACTTATTTCACCACAACATATTTTATATCAGGTCTTCTCTCTCCTTCCCCGCACCTCATTATTTACCCCCTCCACTTTGGTAAGGCAAGATATAGTCCCCTGGTAACTCAGCAAGATATAGTCCCCTGGTAACTCAGCAAGATATAGTCCCCTGGTAACTCATCAAGATATAGTCCCCTGGTAACTCATCAAGATATAGTCCCCTGGTAACTCAGCAAGATATAGTCCCCTGGTAACTCATCAAGATATAGTCCCCTGGTAACTCATCAAGATATAGTCCCCTGGTAACTCTCAGCAAGATATAGTCCCCTGGTAACTCAGCAAGATATAGTCCCCTGGTAACTCATCAAGATATAGTCCCCTGGTAACTCATCAAGATATAGTCCCCTGGTAACTCAGCAAGATATAGTCCCCTGGTAACTCATCAAGATATAGTCCCCTGGTAACTCATCAAGATATAGTCCCCTGGTAACTCTTCTCTCTTGTTTGCATTTTAGAGCTTTCTGTTCCATCCCAAGTTCATGAAGGATGCTCTGTTGTGGGACGAGTGTTAGCCGAGTGTCCATGGCGGTACAAGAGCTGTAAACTGAGGTATTCATGATATCTTTATTTAGCAGCGAGTGCACATGGATCACCTGCAGCTCAGAGGCGAGATTCTGCACCAAGACCTGGGTTGGTCACCGCCCCAGCCTCTAAAGCTGACTTCATGGCCACAATCAACTGGGGTGGAAAACCAGAACAAACTGAGGTACAGTTTTGTTTTTAAGAAATAAAGTTGTGTTTTGTTGTGTGCATTTATAAAGTAATATGATGATTTAAAAGTCACCAAATTTGTTTGGATTTATAATTTAGGAAGATATTAATACATTACCATAGTTGGCTGATTTAAACCAGTGGTTTAAATTTTTTTTTTTTTTTATCTATGCCTTTTTTCTTGGTTTTAATAGTAGATTAGAAAAAGCATATGATAAGGTGAAGAGAAAAGCATTGTGGGAGGTTTTAAAGTGTATGGGGTGGGAGGAAGGAATGCAGTAAAAGCATTGTATGAGAACAGTGAGAATAAATGGGGATGAAAGTGAAACATATGAATTTTCTGTTGGCGTTAGACAGGGATGTGTTATGTTCCTTTGGTTGTTCAAGTTATACATAGACACAAACTATTATACACTGGTGAAAGTGGTGATAATAATAAGGGTTAACTATGAGGGAGTCAAGTTGCCACTGTTGACTGATTCTGTTTATGGTTGGGCTCTGGACATCTGATTCTAATGTGTTCAGATCACGGGTCTAGCGGAGCCAAGTTCTCTCTCTCTCTCTCTCTCTCTCTCTCTCTCTCTCTCTCTCTCTCTCTCTCTCAATAAATTCTTCAAAACTTTCAACTGTAAAAGTAGAATATAGTGATACCTCTAATAGCCAGAATGAGAGATTTCCTGGTAACGAGACGACTCTCTCAAAGCCTTGGGAACAATTTTCCGAGAAAATATCAATTCCGGCTATCGGAGAGTTCCGGGTTTGAGGGATTCCGGCTAATGGAGACATTACTGTAGTTCTTCCCGTGCCTTAAGATGAACTTAAAGTTAGGACAGTATTTGCTTTAAGGAGTCTGGGTGACTGATCAAAGTTTGTGTTATTTAAATTTTAGCTTTATCACAGTGATTATTTGTGATGGAAAATAGTATAAATGATTGTTAAATTATCATCAATGTTTATTACAATTAGCATATTAAAAAGTTATGAAAAGAGCTAAAAATGCTTAAAACTTATTAAAACCAACATAACATTAGAACAAAAAATGTTTTAAACAATAATTAAAAAAAAAAAACCAGTGGTTTTTGCCAACCCTGGATACTACAGTACATGATGAAGGTAATAAATACAGTACAATAAAAATTATTTTTATTTTATTTCAGACAGGTGAGGAAGTTGAGGATCTTATATCAGATGAAGAAGACGACCCAATCTGCCAGCAAGGAGACGCTACAGTTCCGGATGTTGGCATCTCAAAAGAAGCCGACTTACTCAACTGGGGTTTTTCAGCCCAGAATACAACAGCGACCGATGCCGAGCGAGTTACTAACGACATGAACTTGCTCGACATTGCTGGATCAGATGGCATGAAAAGAGATCCAAGTAACTTTGATCTCCTCAGTGGGATTGCCGGCGGTGGCACTCGCGAACCGAAAGCCAATTCTTCCGTCAACGCCGGAGAAACCGCGAGCGCTCAAGAAAATTTGTTTGATCCATTTGGGACTTCAACTGGTGACCCACACTCAGCAGGTGGTCAGGCAGCTACACAAGATCTCTTTGGTTCATTTGCAGCACCTCAGCCACAGCTAAAAAACAACCTATTTGGTCAGCTGGGGGCACCGGTAGGTTATAATACAACCCTTGCAAACTTGTCTTGTAAAAAACCCAAATGTGATAGAATTTATCAAAGTATAGAAGTGGGATTATTGAAGTAATGTAGTGGACGTTGTTGGTAGTGTAGTGGGTGTGAAGGACCTCTCACGCTTATGTCTCGGGAGGGCAAACATCGGCCCTGACATGGTGGGAGTGTCTTGACAGGTTTACTCTACCATTTGATCTGTATTACTGTTTTGTACCTGAGATAAACATTATTAATCTATTCATCTCTTTTCCACATACAGTACAGTGAGACCTCCATATAATGGACTGTGGAAGAGTTTATTCCGTTATATCAAGGTCTGTCCATATAATAGACTATACCCATTAGATTGATGTCCATTAAATGGAGGTTGGTATTTTTCCCAAATTAAAGGCAGCGATGGGTGGCCCGAGTCCAATTTCATCTTCGGGCAGTCCTATGACGGGTCCTCGGATGATGGGGGTGGCGACCAGTCCGAACAATGCCATGGGTAGTGGCTTTATACCTCGTTCTCCGGCACCACAACAACAACAAAACAAACCTGTCGATCCATTTGCTGACCTCGGTAAGTCTTTCAGAAACTGGAATTAGTTCCTGGTTTGTGTGATTTTGTTCCCATTTTACACAGTTTCACATTTTATTATTGTTTTCTCAGGGTTGGGGCAGCTGAGCAGACACAAACAATCATTGGGTCATACAGCCAGCTAGAAATGGCTTCTCTACCATGTGGGAAGTAAGGGCAGTCAAGAGTAGTGTGCCAAAGTTTGTTGTCTCCACACTGATCCTAATGGCCAGTGGGATCCTTTTATACTTTTTTAATGGTAACTTCTCTCTTTCATCAGGAAATTTGGCAGGCCTGAGTGGATGGGGTGGCTCCAAGCCCACCACACCTATGGGAGGAACTCCTGCTGGTGGGACGCCCTTGGGTGGCAGTACTCCTGTGATGGGCTCTCCACAGCACCGGCCTCAGATGGCTGGAGGGTGGCAAGGACAAACACCAGGTGACACTAATACTTGCCTCTTTAACTTTATGTGGTGGACTTTTTAAGTTTTTAGCTGTAGTAGAGGTACGTACTTAACCTCTTGTGATTTGTAAATGAAAACGGGATAAATTTTATTTTAATTTTCTTATTGAAACTTAATGGGAATTTATTTTATTTCTATCTTAATTTTAACATAGGAATTTTATTTTTTGCATCAAATGGCCACAAACTGTGAAGCCAGATAGTTTACCCAATTTTCTGGACCACATCAATCTATATTTTTACCATATATTTAATGTTATAAGATCAAGGTTTAACTTCAGATGTCAGGTTGGTGCAGTATAGTCAAGCCTCTACAATATTGTTCCTTTAACTTTACCTCTGGTTTTTTTTCTCTTTTTTTTTTACAATGTGATGGTTTGTTGACAACAGCTTGACCATATCAGAGTATCTTTGGTGTCTCTATATACTGACAGTGTTCGTAAGATTTAGGTGCAGATCAATTTTCAGATTGTAGTTGATTATATTGAGAATTATTCCCTTAAATTCACCTTTTTCTGTAATTTGCTGAGTTCTATATAGAGTACCCAGTAAATCACTCTCGATTACCTGACGTCAAAATATATTTGGTGCGTTCACATTTGTACAAAAGAATCGGCGAGTAAACCTTATCAGTTTTGGCTCCACCATAACGAATTACTTATCACTCCTGAATCACCTCATTAATTGATTTACGTTTTACACATAATAAATAACAAGATAGATAAAGTACGCTTAAATAGTTGACACTAGCTGCTTCCTACAACAGGTATGATGGGATCACAGTTGGGTGGCTGGCAGCAAATGACCAGACCTCAGCAACCACCAGCACCGCAGCAACAACAACCACCACTGACACAGCCGCAGCAACCACCACCACCACCACAGCAACAACAACAACCACCACCGACACAGCAGCAACCAATTCCTGGGAAAACTCCAACAGGTACACCGCACCACCAGATGAAATCACCAAATTATGGACGTGTTAATTTTGATGTTTCTGGTGAGTCAGTGTACTTGTGATGCCTTTTGCTACCTTGGTACACTATCAGCAAATTATATATAAACAACAGTTATTACTGAATTCATCACGTTCAACCCATTGTACGTAGGCCAGATACGATCCCCCTGTTCATTTTGCGTAGCCTGTCTGTGTTGCATGCTGTTAGGTAATATCGCCCCCACAGCATATATAAACATTACCTTCCATAAAACACATTACCTAGAACAGTGACTTGTTAGTGACTAAAACCTTATTGTCCTTGGAAGTTAACCCCTATGTGTGTATATATAACCAAAATATATTTCATCAGGTAAAAATGCCGGGGGAACACCGAAGGGCAGAGTTGGTGAAGATGCTTTTGGTGACTTACTTGGTTCTCAAGGGTTCAGCTTCAGCAGTGGGAAGGACACTGGCCCTCGTACCATGGCAGAGATGAAGAAGGTGGAGCTGGCCAAGTGTATGGACCCAGAGAAGCTTAAGGTCGTATTACTTTACTGTCACACCTCCATTAACGGGAATTAAGACCATCTCTCTAATCACCCACACCTTTCTGCTTTTTCACTCCGTATTTTAAATGTACCTGCATAACGTAACGTTGAAGGGATACAGATCGTGCAACTCTGCTCATTTATTCTTATACTTATCACAATCTCCCTAAAAATACTTTAGCTTTCATATTTATTCAAGACATCTTCAGTTCATGAGACCCACTAGTCCCCCACCCAAGAAATGGTGACCTGAAATTCCATCCCTGTAAATTCAGTTGCCTCTGAAGATATCTTGAAAGAAGACAAAAGCTAAGGTTGGTGCTCCAGTGTATACCTAGTTGACCGAGAGCTCGATTTAGCGGAAATTTTGATTTGACGAACAGTGAGTGACTCAAATTGTTTCGTTAAATTGAGAAAATACTGTATTTCACACTTTTACCTTGTGGGTACAGACGTGTTGTGTTGATGCTATATGGCATAACGAATATTGTGACCAAGTCCCAGGTTGCTAATCTGTCTTTCTGCCTCATTTACACACAATTGCAGGGTCTCAATTGTTTCTCTTACAACACAACATACTGTACATATAGCATTTCTCACTATTGAAATTGTTTTATTTTAGTTTTTGTATTTCCTTGTATTTCTTTATTATTATTATTACAGTGTTGTTATTATTATTGTTGTCATTTTTATTTTATTTTACTTTATATTATAAATTTTATTTACTATAAATTACTGTATTATTATTATTATTATTATTATTATTATTATTATTATTATTATTATTATTATTACATTTTCGCCCCCCAGGCCCCGATGTGGGTCATTGACCTGTGCTCCGGTGGGCTAATCCCCGTAAAAAAAAAAAAAAAAGCACTGATTCTTACATTTATATTTGGATATTATATGAGTGTATTTGAGTTATGCTATTTTAATGTTTTGCTCTATTGCCCGTATACTACAATATATTAAGAGAATAAAGAAAAAACATTATTATTGTTGTTATCGTGTTTATTTACTCCGTGGGTCGCGAACACGCCCGATGGATCTAGTTATGGGACTCGACAAAAAAAAGTTTAAGACCCACTGCACTGATATGTACGAATAACATTTATTTTGGATATTCCACTTTTACCATTTTATTACTTGTGCTCTTTTCTTATTCAGGTAATGGAATGGACTGAAGGCAAGAAGAAAAATATTCGTGCTCTTCTCTGTTCCCTCAATACAATCATCTGGGATGGTTGCAAGTGGCATGAGTGCGGGATGCATCAGCTGGTGCAACAGAATGACGTTAAGAAGATGTACCGCAAGGCTTGTCTAGCTGTCCATCCAGATAAGGTAACTTACAGTACTGTACTAACATTTACTGTAGCTATTAAAACAAGTAGGTAGATGGAGAGAGATGTTACAGTAGAAGTAGGTAGATGGAGAGAGATGTTACAGTAGAAGTAGGTAGATGGAAGGAGAAGGTTGAGGAAGAATGATACAAGACATGTGTAAAAAAGTAGAAGGAATGAGGTGGAAAAAAAAGAAGATAAAAAGATAAACACTCACAAACCCTCTGATTAATCACCTTAAGTAACAGACCCTTTCTTATTTCAGTGCTCCGGGACAGAACACGAGTCTCTTGCCAAACTCATATTTATGGAACTTAATGACGCTTACTCCGAATTTGAAAACGACACCAGCCAGCAGCAAATATTTAATTAAGAATTGGTTAAACTGATTGAATGCTTACGTTTGTTATTGATCAGTCCAGTTGATGGTGTGGTGTTGAAGTGTGTGTAATTATTAAGCTAAACTATTGATGGTATATACAGTATAGTCCAGCTTTGCTCTGGTAGAAGGGCAGTCTCTCAGTTTCTGTTAAGTTGGCATTCACAGAATATATAGACCCAGCCGCCATGATAGAGATATATACTGTAAGCTCAGATATCATCCAGGTTTAGTCCTTTTGAAATGAACATTAATAACTGTGCTTTTACATTTGAGCTGGACCACCATCATACTGTATATGTGTTTGGTCTATAGCATCTTTTGTTGTGTGTAGGAGCGTGAGGGAGAACTTACCACTTGTTATAATATAGTTGTAAAGTAGTTCATTATAATCAGTGTTATAACACTTGCCCATAGTATAAGTTTTGTAAGTGGTGACATATTATTATGCTTGTACTGTACAGCAATGCTGAACTGTAACTTACTACAGAACAGTACAGTAGTGACTAATATCAGCAAGTAGGATTCTCAAATTTGTATATGAATAACACCCTTGAAGTAGAAATGTAAGAGATATTTATTTGAGATAGAAAACAAATACTGTATTACAGAATTATCATGTTAATTGGCCTTGCTTATGGGCATTAGTGTTATATTGAATATTGTTTTATCTGTGGCTGCAGAATGTGTGGCTTTATCCTACTACTCTAAGTTCATGGTTCACAGTTTTTAGAATATCATTTAATTTAATTTATATCAGATTAAAGTATTTTATCAGAGATTTTGGATTGGTGTATTATATAAGGTGGAGCTGTTATGAGGTGACTCACCGGGAGCATAATTGTTGTGAGAAAATGTGATGAGATTCAGGTTATGTAGAACACTTAATTTGTAGGTAAGACTCATTTATGTTTCTCTGATAGGTTTAACGCAACGTACATACAGTATAACCTCTATTTAATTGGCCACGCGCAGAGGAGAGTCCGTTATGTAGAGGGTCCATTAGATGTAAAACCTCCATATAACGAACTATATAGCGATGGAAGTCTGTTACATCGAGAGTCCGTTAGATGGGAGACCCCCATATAATGGATTACATGGAGAGAGAAGTCCGTTATATGGAGGTTTCACTGTACAGCTGTTGTAATGTCCTATGTTAATTCTCACTGTCGTTGGGTTCTATTTGACAAACCTTCAAGAACCCAGATCCAGATCTTCTCTCTCTCACAGATACTAATTTTCTCTTCTCATTATCACAATTAGAGCCCAGTTGATGGTCTTCAGTGAATGTCGTGTGTGTGTGTGTGTGTGTGTGTGCGCGTGTGTGCGTGCGTTATGCTGTGGTTATTACAGACAACAGCTCTTGTACATCTTACGTACATCACTGCATCTATATTTCTTGTAATTATTTGATGGGGAGTTCATGTTAGTATAGTTAATTAGGACTACAAATCTCATAGGTGTGTGTTCATGTAGGCACTCCAATATATTCACCTCATATTTTATATTTTTCACCATTAAGTTACATTGTCATTATGTCTTTGTGATAGTAGGAAAAACAAACAACTAAAACTAAGAGTACAGCAGTCATTTATCACACATTGTTTTTCGATGTAGATTACCAAATTTAACAGTCTAGTGATGAGTTTTTGTAACCCTTGATTTTCTCAGGTACTGTATTCATATTTCTAGTTGGATAAATTGTTGCAATTCACTTTATATTTTCATATGTAGCTTTCAAGTTCCTCGCCATCATCATTCATTATAGTTATTCTTTATTACACTGGGTTTATATATACAGTATTGTTATTATGGTCCAGGATTTATTTTCCCTCCTTCATCGCTGGTAAGCCACTTGCCTTAGAGTGTGGGAAATGGCTGTAGACCGTTGGTGGCGATGATAGTGGTGTTGCTCTAGATAATCCATCCTTTTATCTCTTAATAACTTTGAAAACATGACAGTCCCCCGTTATGAGTGCGAGTTAATGAGGCTTCTGCACTACACTATAGATCTCTTGTGAGTGTGTTTCATCAATCACATTATTATTATGTTCAAAGCATTAAATTTCTTCTTTTTCTCAGGACCATAATAAATTTTAAGTAGAGACAGTGACACAGTTTCCTTTATTAAAATTATTGAAAGATTGAAGCAGCATTTGGTGGTTCCATCACCTAATGATAACACTAGCATCCTGTTACATATGTAAGTCGGCTGTACTGTATAATGGTCTAGTTTTACATATTGTACTTTAGTTGTCAATATTGACTTCCTGCAGTCAAGGTTACTCATATTGATAATTGTGAGCTGAAGGATACAGTGATGGCTGCAGTAGGTATGACTGGTACAGTTTAGTGATGACTGATACAAGATTTAAAGAAGTACCAGTGAGTGCAGTAGTTAAGTGTTGTACCTTCCTCATCAAGTTTACCTATATTTGGTTTCCTACAAAATGCTAATTCTGTTTAGGTACAGTGCAAAAAAATTTAAAATTTTGTGATTTTGTATATATGTAGTTTATCTCTTCATAGAGTACAGTACAGTACAGTACAGCTGTGTCTTTATACAGTAAAAGGCTCAGAGATGGACCCATAAGAAGTTGATGATTTATACTTTGACAAAAATTATCAAGAATTATGATCTGATGTCTAGATGAACTAGCATTTATGTCTGTGTTCAACTCAAGAATATTATTTTTCTGACAATTGTAATACTGTACATTACTCTGTGTATATATATACCATATACAGTACATGTACATAGGTACGGTACATATGAATTAATTTATCATACAGAAAGGCTTTGCCCTCAGTGTTAAGGACTAACTTATCTCATTCTTTATGTTTTACTGAAGACTTAAAATATAGTTTATCTTTTGTATCATAATTGTGGGGACGTGTAGTGTACAGCATATTGTTACCCGCATCTTTACAGAAAAGGAGAGGTTATTTTGTTTTAGATGTATTGTACAGTTTAAAGAAATGTAGAGGTCAGTTGTTAGGAAATACTTATGCCAAAAGTGATGTATGTGACTTACTCTAAGATCCATTATTTTAAAAGGGATGATTTAAGCTTGTAGTTATTGTGTGTTGTGATATTACTATTTAGTAAACATGTAGAGATTGACTCTATAATATAAAGAAGCAGAAATACTCTTATAAAGTAAATAGTATAACTCAGTGAGCTCTAAATATATGGACATCCATAATTATTTTGAAAATTTCATGTCAGAATAGATCTCAAGCTCTTACGTATTTTGATATTGATGAAAGACTGTCATTTGGAGTTAACCTTTAGCAGTAAAATGAAACATTATATATATGTATATATATATATATATATATATATATATATATATATATATATATATATATATATATATATATATATATATATATATATATATATATATATATATATATATATATATATATATAATAAAAGATGTACAGTTAACCCTGGCTATTCGTGAGGGATAGGTTCCAAGGAATGGTGCAAATAGCAACTTACACTACCTTAGTTCACTACTGTATACCTATACTGTGTGTGTGAGAAACTTAATCACCAATACTATTCTCCTTTTTGTGTGAAAGTTTGGAGCTTGATGAAGTGTACTGTACAGTAGGATGAAATCTGGTTACTGAAGCATAGGGACATCATCAATATCACTGTTGGAAGAGGGTGATGCATTGGTGGGTGGTGGAGTGGCTGCAGCAGCTGACCGAGTAAATGATGGAGATGAATCAGCTGGACGAGCAGTTGGCTTTTTCTTGAAAAACATCGTGATTGGTAGTTTTTTCTCTTGGCTTCGAGGTCTCTACACATTTCACTCCACTGACACTGACATTAGGCAGTCTTTTAGGGGCCATTTCACACAGAAACACCAAACTTTTCAGAACCATACAAAAGATGCTGTGTTGCAGGCAATGATTGAGTGCAAACAAAGGGAAAGGAAACACTGCAGGTGTTTGGGGGTGACTCGTTGTGCTGCGAGCAGGCTCATTAGCTAGCCACCATCTGGTTACCACGAATAGCAAGAGTTTACTGTACTGTTCTATAGATAATACATTTAATGGTTCATCCAGCCCAGTGCTTCCAGGAGCAGTTGTACAGTACAGTACCACTTGCTTGAGCGATAGTGACTGAGGAAATATTTATAGTTTAGTAGTACTGTACTGTACTGTACTGTAGTTAATATTTATATATTTTTATGTTGCTTAACACAAGAGTATGGTACATAAGAGAATGATATAATTTGTTCACTAATCCAACTTAATGATCTCGCTACACTGAACCTTTACTTATTCAATATCATGGGGCTGTGGGTCCATCAGTTAGTAAGTCTCAAATATTGAATTGATCCAATACGTTGAAATAACCTTATAATATACCTTGAAATTGTGTCACATTTGTGTAATATTTCCAACCACTAAAACTCTGCAGACTGTTGAGGTCGTGTTTAACCTAACCTAATATATATATATATTTTAAGACAGGTAAGACAAATTCAAATCACTCGGTGTCAACTGGAACCTGTAAGATACATAGAGGTGCTGGTACAGTACAGCAGTCTCTGAGTAACTCGGTCTACCGCAACATACAGAATCATTATGGTCATTACATACAATAATTGTTTTACTGTCATGAGAGTGGAAATCCCAAGTGGTCAGTTGTCTAATATAGATGGAAATTATTTGCACACTTTTCATTTACATTGTACAGAATTTGATGCTATTTTTATGATTTTCTAAATGTTTGTGTGTGAAACTTTTTCTTTTGGGAGGCAACGTTGGTTGTGATAACAGGAGAGTGTGTGAAGACAACTACTGTACTAGGAGAGTGTGTGAAGACAACTACTGTACTAGGAGAGTGTGTGAAGACAACTACTGTACTAGGAGAGTGTGTGAAGACAACTACTGTACTAGGAGAGTGTGTGAAGACAACTACTGTACTAGGAGAGTGTGTGAAGACAACTACTGTACTAGGAGAGTGTGTGAAGACAACTACTGTACTAGGAGAGTGTGTGAAGACAACTGCTGTGCTACAATGTACTAGGTGAGTGTGGAACACTGTTTTCACTGCTACTGGAGGTGTGTGAGACAACTACTGTGCTAGGAGGTGTGTGTGCCTGCTGTGCCAGGAGTGTGTGAGAACTTGTGGGAGATGTGTGAGACAACTGCTGTAGGAGAGTGTGAGGTGTGTGAAGACAACTACTGTACTAGGAGAGTGTGTGAAGACAACTACTGTACTAGGAGAGTGTGTGAAGACAACTACTGTACTAGGAGAGTGTGTGAAGACAACTACTGTACTAGGAGAGTGTGTGGTGAAGACAACTACTGTACTAGGAGAGTGTGTGAAGACAACTACTGTACTAGGAGAGTGTGTGAAGACAACTACTGTACTAGGAGAGTGTGTGAAGACAACTACTGTACTAGGAGAGTGTGTGAAGACAACTACTGTACTGTATATTCAAATAAAATATGGACTTGTAAACACTGTATCAGACAAGAGTTCAGTGTCCGTATTTGGTTCACATGTAAAACTTTTGTTATATTCTTTAGGTTTTTTCATGATAATCTATTTTAACAGTACAATAAGTGAGGCTCATAATAATGTTGTGTACTGCACATCCCACCCAAAGCCTTGTTTGCATTTAAGGAAGTATGGAATTTTTTTTGGTCAAATACATGTTTTTATTTTACTATAAAACAGGATTTGTGTTATACTACAGTAGTTCCTCACTTTCCTGCTACCTTCACTCACTGCAAGATCTTGGGAGTGAGAAATATATTGCCTAACCAAATTAATAAATCTTTTTCTGTCACATATCACTCTTCCTAACTAACTGTGCAGTACAGATTATAATGCACTACAATACAGTGTCAAAATACTAACCATGCTCAGAAACACTATACCGTACATCACAGTTCTTTATCTTGACATATAGTATAGTGGCTTCAAAAGAATCTAATATACATTTCACATGTGTCTAGATTCCACCATCACACAGCACCCCCTTCCCCCCTATCCTTCAAGCATACCTTTGGTCTGTAGTATTTCAACTCCCATAAGTTTACTCAAGTATTACTCTTGCTCACCATTCTATCTTTTGTCAGTTCTCTTCTAGTTTCCTCTTCTTCCATATTTCCTTTCTCCCAATCTTTTCTTCCTCTTTCTTTCCCCCAATACTTCCTGCTTCTCTCTCCTCCACATAAAATGACAAGCTAAACAATAAGTAAACAAATCTTCAACACACTGTTATCATGAGGTGGATTCTTCAAGTGGTGCATTTTTTTATAAAATGAGAGGAGATGTAGAGAATTAGCACAGTACAGTACAGTATGCACTTGGCTGCTGGATGGGGAGAAAACAAGTACAGCTCTTTGCTTAATAAATTATATTACATTACCTGCGTGTTTGAGCGTTGGGTTAAAATGATATACTGTATTTAAGCTTTTAAGTGAACAGTAATTGTAATAGTTTTAGATTATATGTATAGGGAAAGACCAACAATAGTAGATGCATTTGTAATTGCTTGTAAGCACTAATAACGATTGCCTTTGACGGAAATTAATGCTTCTCTTTTCATGTATTATAATACCAATCCAGTTTCATTGTAATTGTATGTACTATATTTTCTTTTTCGAAATGTTAGAAGAGTAATTATCACAGTGGTATTACTAGTGTACAATACTGTAATATATATTTATATATATTTGTTCATTTATTTCTAGTGGTAGCTTATTATCTCTTGAATCTAAAGATACTGTATTTAAAGATAATTTTCAATGATCACAACTTTAAGTTTCGAATTATCAAAATTTATGACTTTTAAATGACATTAAAAGATGTAAAAAGTAACAAATTTTACCATATTGTACAAAGTTGACTGGATCACTTACGTCTGACACTCATCAGAATGATTCTCACATAAGTAGGACGCACATTTTTACTTGTTATTACCTCACAGTTTTTGTTTCCAGAATCAGTTACTTGTTGCTCTTGTCTTGTACGTATACCATATGTAATGAAATTTTCCATAATTATTTTTCAGTGTTCTGTACTGTAAGTTATTATTATTCATCCTTATCAAATGTGTTCACATAAGTGCAGAGGGACTTGTAATGTTTTCCTGAGTTACATTTTATGTTGATGACCTTAACTTTTATTGATCTCATAAACTATAATGTTGTAAATCTTGTAAGTGTAGGAGTGTGTTCACAGTTATAATTTAAGAGTCAACATTCCAATGTATGGTATACTGTACGACTGTATTTTTAATTTACATCATTCCTGTGTCAATTAACATCATTTATAATTGAAGTGTAGCTTGATTTAGTGTGTTCACTTTTAATTTGTATTATTTCAATTATTATAATTACAGCTAAACATTAAATTATTTATCTTTATCATTTACACATTTATAACAATGGAAACAGAGCAGCACAAAAGAATTCTTACAACTTGAACTTTTGCAATGATAAAAGAACTCCAGCTCTTGCTCGTAATACATTCATAGTCATGATTTATTTCTCTTTGTTGGATGTGGTTTTTAGTACAGTACAGTATGAAGGAAAGGGGTAAAGGAAGCAAGTATTGTTGCAGTGGCAAAATGTTACCCAAGTGGAAGTAAAAGTTTCCAAAGTTCAATGTACTTGAGTAGAAGTAAAAAACTGTATCATTCATAAGTACTGTACTCAAGTACTGAAAGTAAAAAGTAAGAACAAAATTATTAATTGTCTCAAATATTAAAATAAATCCACTAGTTAACTACAGATAAAAATAAAAGATGGCACAACCGTCTCCATTGGCAAATCTTTCTTTTGAGATTAATCAATAACTGATTCTCAAAATTATGGCTGGACAATCAGGCTAGGTGAAGTGGGTGGTCAAGGTGCTAATGGACACAAGAAGATCAAAGGGAAACTCTGTTGCCACCTGACCTGACGTCACCTCACCTCACGAGACCTCTAGTTATGTGACTGCCCGGTGTCTCTCCACACCGTACCCTACACCCACACAACTCTTACTATGGTTAAAAATATATTAATTAACTAAAAAATATATTATTAGTCTGCCACAGACATTAAAACTGTTTGTTTGTTTGTTTGGGTCATGTAACAAGTACTGTAATGACGATTTTTGTTTTTTCAATTGTATTGGCATAAAAGTATTGGAAAATCAATACTTTAGTAAAAGTTCTCAAAATTTGAATACTTTTTAAAAAGTAAATACCCAGAAATTTTACTTGAGTACTGTACAGTAATCAAGTAAATTTATTTAGTTACTTTACAAATCTGAGTATAGTATAGTCTGGATTTACATGGTTTTTGTTTACGCGTTTGGTCATTTACGTGGTGCCTTGCCAGAATGAAATGGTTTAATTACGCGGTAAATTTCATCATTTACGCGGCGAGCAGCTGGAGAGGTCCAGACCGCTGCGCCATTTTTTACTCACACGGTTCATTCTTGACCATACGCGGGAAGCGGCACGGTGAGTGGTGCGCATTAGGCCGCTCTTACATTATCGCTCACGTCATATGACGTAAAGGACTGTGATTGGGCCACACATCCTTACCACCCACACATTCACTCTGCCGCTAGCTGTGATTGGTCTAATGTAACATGACATGCCCTGTCACCAGAGGGTAGAAGTCACTGACCTAGCCGGGCCAGTCTCATTGTTCTCAGTCTGCGTATACAGTTCTCTCTTGTGCCCACTATTCCCCTCACAACTCACAATGGCTTCCGCTGGACCCCCACCACCAGAGAAAAACCTTGAATTACCTGGACCAAGCCATGGTAATGTGAAGGAAATCATCGAGTTGGGGGATGAAACTTAAGCTCATCCTTGACATCGACCCAGACAAGCATAGGTATGAAGCGTCTAATAACCATCTGACGAAAGTTATGGAGCCGTATATCCAGATCTATCTCGACGACATCAATGCTAGTCGTCAACGCAGTATTAAGGACTTCCTCGCCCACAACCCACCACAACCACATCCAGCCCAAGTCAGTGATAGTGACAGTGAGGATATGGACTTTGAGGGGTTTGTCTGGGGGCCCTGCAAACCTCTGCGAGTAGTGAAAGTGATTCACCGGAGGGTAACTAATCTGCCCTCTGCCTCGGAACCAGCCGCCATCCACGTGTGCCGACCCATCTCTTCTACTAACGTAAATGTTACACACCTTTAGATTTGTAGTTTTTTATTTAGATATTATGTGTGTGTAGCAATACCATCATAAAATTATGATGTTATTTTTACTAAAAGTACGGAAAAAGGGTAGTCTGGGGTCGGCCCAGTCTCTTTCAATTACTCCCATATGTTCTGTTATTTCGTTTACACATTTCTCGTTTTACGCGGACCTCCACGGGTTCAATTGACCGCGTAAATGCAGACTATACTGTAATGTATATATGTACACAGACAATACAGGTACACATTGTACACAGACAGTACAGGTACACAATGTACACAGACAGTACAGGTACACAATGTACACAGACAATACAGGTACACAATGTACACAGACAATACAGGTACACAATGTACACAGACAGTACAGGTACACAATGTACACTGACAGTACAGGTACACAATGTACACAGACAATACAGGTACACAATGTACACAGACAATACAGGTACACAATGTACACAGACAATACAGGTACACAATGTACACAGACAATACAGGTACACAATGTACACAGACAGTACAGGTACACAATGTACACAGACAATACAGGTACACAATGTACACTGACAGTACAGGTACACAATGTACACAGTGAAGGTACACAAACAATGTACACAGTGAAGGTACACTCACATGGTGTGTGTGTGTTTACATGTTTACACACATATATGCACACCTGTCCACCAGCACGTGCAGACAGACAATAAAACGCGCAAGCATACTGTGTAAGTGTGTCTTTGTGTGCGTAAAGTACAGTAATAATACGTACATATGTTGTGTACACTACTGTATGTACATGTGTAAGGTTTTCCTCGTATACCACCATGTTACCAATTCGTAATATGTTTATGAAGTACCCGATAACATATAGAACATTAAACAGAACCTCATTCAACTTTTCATGGGATATATTAGAAACTATGAAATGTATACAAATATGTGTACAAGTTTTTGATGGGGTAGTTAGTTGTTATTGGTGAATGATGAAGGGTAGAAGCATCGTACATCAGTGTAGAGCAGCTGTTGGCTAGTTCATGAGGGTGAACCTTGAGCCGCGTCAGTGTTGGTTAGTGAGTGGTGAGGGGAGTATGTGTCTCTTACTCCCTTGGTGCTAACCTATGTATGGGATCCTTTACTATCACTTAGTTTTCGCTGAAATTTGTATTGATAATTATAAAAAATATCCCTTTCCATAACTCCTCACGATATGCTCAAACTCTTGTGTTTTTATGAAGAAAAGTGAAAGTTAATAGGTATTTTTGTTGTTGCTATTCGTGATATACTGAAAGGGTTAAATATTATACACGAAATTCATACCTTGTGATCAATAAACATTAAATTACCGTTATGTTTATTAGTGTGTTTAAGTTGACAATGTTGTGACATATTTAATCAAAGTTTCTGTAGAAAAAAAAACTGGCAGAGAAAGTGTTGAGTTTGTCATTAGTGAAGGAAAAAGCAGAGGATTATTTCTTAAACATTTGGATTTGTTAACTTCGCTCTACACCTCATACAGGTAAGTGTGTATGTTGTGTTGTATGACCGTGTACACTTTTACACTCATACAGGTAAGTGTGTATGTGTGTGTGTGGGGTGAGGCGAGGTAAGTCACTCGATTTATCTTCACGTATTAAATTATCACTTCCTATTAACATTATCTTATCTACAATGACCAGATAAATCTCTCTCTCTCGCTCTTTCTTTCTCTCTCTCTAATATATCTTAACACGGGAGGCAGAGAGAGAGAGAGAGGGAGAGTTGGGAAGGCGAGGTGAGTTAGAGCCAAGGCTGCCACTGCACTACTGTACTGTGCCAGCATATACAACCATCCCTCCCTCCCTCTCCTTCCTCCCTCCCTCCCTCTCCTTCCTTCCTCCCTCTCCTTCCTCCCTCCCTCTCCTTCCTCCCTCCCTCCCCCCCTCCCTCTCCTTCCTTCCTTGATAACTAACCTACCCTAACCTAACCTACCCTACCCTACCTTAACCTACCCTACCCTAACCTACCCTAACCTAACCTACCCTACCTTAACCTACCCTACCCTAACCTACCCTAACCTAACCTACCCTACCTTAACCTACCCTAACCTAACCTACCCTAACTTACACTACCCTACCCTAACCTACCCTAACCTAACCTACCCTAACTTACCCTAACCTAACCTACCCTAACCACGGTACATTAGGTGTATGTCCAGGTACAGTTGAACATGTGTGGGAAGGCCAACGTGACCATCACACATTGCTTGGTTGCGGTGGTGTGAACTGTGTCTCACCTGCGGCTTTCATCAGTGATTGCAGGTGTCTCCTCTGCCAGTGCGTGAGGCGAGGGGGTAGGGGTGATGGTGTGACTGATGATAGTGATGGTGTAAGTCTGATGGTGGTGATATTGGTATTTAATCGTGTGTATACATTGGTCCATTATTTCATCTACTTAAAGTTTCCTTACACACACACACACACACACACACACACATACATGTACAACTGTATATTTTCAAGCTTCCGGCTGCCATGCTCTTTCAATAAACCGCTAATTATTATTATTATTATTACATACGCACATACTCATGAATACTTTACATATATTTGTGTATTCGCTCACCACCACCACCACCACCATACGCTAAACCAAAATATATTTCCTACAATTTTACAAGCGGGAACGTGAGTCATAAATTTCTTAACTTTTTATGTGAGAGAACCCCTTGAGTAGGATGATGCAACCCCTTGAGTATGATGATGTAACCCCTTGAGTATGATAACCACTTGAGTATGATGACTTAACCACTTGAGTATGATAACTTAACCCCTTGAGTATGATGATTTAACCCCTTGAGTATGATGATGTAACCCCTTGAGTATGATAACCACTTGAGTATGATGACTTAACCACTTGAGTATGATGTGATGTCCCTTGTATAGTGTAGTGTGTGTTTTGACGACCATAGAAAACGTTGGCTTGGTGGGTAGAAAGTAGGAAACTGCTGCCACTCTAAGGTTCCTGCCTTATGGTTCACTGTCTTGTACCTGTCTGGTGTACACTTGACTGTTTATCGTGGTGATGTACATTACAGTATGATGATGTACACTACAGTATGGTGGCATTGGTGTATACATGGTGGTGATGGTGTACACTACAGTATGGTGGCATTGCTGTACACGTGGCTGGTGATGGTGTACACTACAGTATGGTGGCATTGCTGTACACATGGTGGTGATGGTGTACACTGCAGCATGGCACTGGTGTACACGTGGCTGGTGATGGTGTACACTGCAGCATGGCACTGGTCTACACGTGGCTGGTGATGGTGTACACTGCAGCATGGTGGCACTGGTGTACACGCGGCTGGTGATGGTGTACACTGCAGCATGGCACTGGTGTACACGTGGCTGGCACTGGTGTACACGCGGCTGGTGATGGTGTACACTGCAGCTTGGTGTACACACCCAGTAAACCTTATCTCTAAGCTCATTTATGAGGCTTCAGTCACACGTTTCAGTATTAATATTAATGTTACCAAGAGTTTAACACACCAGCCTCACCCCCCCACCAACAACAACACCAGATGATGCAAATGTAACCTCACCTAACCTACCCCAGCTTATTTCATCCTAATATTATCCACCCAAACGCTAATCTAACCTAACCTGGATGATCTTGTTCGTGGTAGTTGGTTAATATGGCTCAGGGTCTATGTGGTGCAGCAAGATTCATATGTTGATGGTGACGTCACGAGAATCAATGACGAGTGATGATAGTGATATGCCACACTCAGCAAGACTCACTTATGTTCCAGTCACTTAAAAAAGTTATGTAGTGGTGATAATGATGAGGAATAAGAGAGCTATCTAGCGCACATAACCTACTAACATCTCTAACCTAACCCAACACCAACCTAACCTAACCTAACCCAACCCAACACCAACCTAACCCAACACCAACCTACCCTAACCTAACCTAACCCAACACCAACCTAACCTAACCTAACCTCCATCGTCCAATGTCAGTGGAGGAGGAAACTAAAGCATCCGGAGAGAACCTGTGATGCCCTGGGGATTGAACTCGGGACATATTGATGAAGTTGAGTGCCATACACTCATACGGCCTAGTACAGTATCCTACACCCATATAGTGGGGTAAATAGACACTGTACTGGAGCAATACGCCATAACAAGACGAACCCCTCTAGCTGGTGTGAGAATTTCCCGTTAGTTCAACAACAAAATGAACTCAGCGTCTGTGTGAATGATGGAGGCGGCGACGGCAGCAACAGTCACCCATTAATGATAATTCATCAGTATTAATCTAGTAATTATTGAGACTTTAGTGAATGTTTTAACTTACTGTGTTGTCGTGTAGTGTAGTGTACCGGTAGTGGAGATGGTGTAGTGAGGATGAACACGAAGGGGACAAAATGAGGAGAAAGTTAGCAGTTGGGTTAGGGTGGCAGTAAGAAGTTTTGGGGCACACGGGAGACTTGGTTGCCAGTCGCTGCTGCCCGCCTTGAATTAACCGATCTTTTAATTTAGCATCTGGACTCTTTATATTGTGAGTAACTATATGTATATATATATAGCTGAGGTATTGTGTATCGATATATTCACTTCCTTTACTAAACTGTGATCAGTCATATACCGTTGTGGGGACGTGTAGGCCGAGTTGTACCCGAGAGAACGGCCCAGTACCCTCACCCTGCCATTGTGGGTTGCCATGGAGACCACCAGAATCAATAGCCCATCATCGTAAAGAAGGGTTAATAAAGATGTTTACATTTGTTAATCACACTCTATGATTCTGTACCGTGATTTATAGTTGGAATTAACCAATCAGAAGGCCCGGATGTGTTGTAGCGGAAGTTTCAATTGGCTGTGATGTTGTGCTCGTGTAACGTGAGCTAAAATCAATTGATGGAGACAAAGAGACGAGAGATGTGTTAATATCTCGGGTGTTCTGCTGCGGGGAGGACACACACAACACTGGAGGTCGTCACAACACTAAGGGTCGTCCTAGTCATTGGGGTCGACAGTGGTGTGGCGGACATTGACAGCTAGAGGGGTGACAGCTGGTTAGAATCGCCTCCACTGTATGCCAATAACTACCAAGGCTGACAGCTGCAGTGGTGATAGTTGTGGTAATTGCGGTAGGGGTGGTGTTGGTGGAAGTAGTGATGGTAGTCGTATAAGTAGTGGTAGTAGTAGTAGTAGTGGAAATGGTGGTAGTTGTGGTGGTGGTAGTGGTGACGATGGCTGGTCATTTTTGAACCCGATGTTAAATATTTGTCGAGGAGCCGACCAAGTAGCCCTCCCCTCCCCTCCCCTCTCTTCTCCCTCCCACACTCCCTCTTCTCTCCCTTCCCTTCCCTCACACTTCCTACGTCCTCCTCACGCACTTTCTCCCCTCCCTCACTCCTCCCCTAGCCTCTCCCCCACATACTTCCTCTCACACTCCCCACTCCTCCCGTCCCTACTCTCCCTCTCCACTTATACTCCCTAGTCCCACTCTCACACACTCCCACTCCTCTCACACTCCCCACTCCTCCCTCACACTTCTCACTCTCCACTACCCCCTCTCTTTTCCTCTGCCTCCCTTTAGAACACACACTGATCTTCTTTCACTGCTCGTCCACACACACACATGGAGATCTTGTTCACGTCTACACTACACTTACCCTCTTGGTCACTTAGTATGGCGGGCGATCACTACACTGTTAGATACTGTTGGCTTCTGTTAGCTACTGTTGGGCACTGTTAGATACTGTTGGCTTCATAGTTGGCTGCTGTTGAACTCATTGATACTGTTGGCTTCTGTTAGCTACTGTTGGGCACTGTTAGATACTGTTGGACACTGTTATTATTATTATTATTGTTGTTATTGTCACGTGTGGGAGACCTCGAACGTCAACGAGTGAAGACAATGTTGACTCCAGCAGGAAGAGTGCCAACACCTGACACCAGTTGGCTCCAGCAGGAAGAGTGCCAACACCTGACACCAGTTGGCTCCAGCAGGAAGAGTGCCAACACCTGACACCAGTTGGCTCCAGCAGGAAGAGTGCCAACACCTGACACCAGTTGAAAAACCAGCAGCAGGAAGCATGCCAACACCTGGCGCCAGTTGACTCCAGCAGGAAAATTGCCAACACCTGACGCAGTTGAGCCAGCGGGAAGAGTGCCAACACCTGACACCGGTTGACCGGCGGGAAATTTAACACACCGGTTGGCTCCAGTCTTGTTGCAGGCGGTATACCGCCAGCTATATCCTGAATACTGCTCAAATTTTATATCTTTTTTTTTAGTGGGTTAAGCTGGTTGGGTTACAGTTGGTTGGTTGGGTTGGTCCAGGAGCCTTTCAGGGTTTGAGGAGTGGATGTGAAGTTATGCCCAGTGACAAGGAATACTACATAGCAGCAGAGGTATCAGTTTGAGGTAATGGTATCCTTTTACTTGCCTCTCCCCTACCTCCTCTCTACACACTCCCCCTACCTCCACACACACCCCCCTCCCTACCTCACTCTCTCAC